AAAAAAAAACACAAATAGTGTTCATTTGGTAGCTGGATCACTTTGCTCTATTTTACAAATTTTTTCAATGAAAATGTATTGCTTTTATAATTACAGCTCTAAAAAGTTGTATATAAAGTTTTTAGTTTACATACTTGGTTGCTCCATCATCGTATGTTCCCATTAAGACTATTGTTCCATCTTGTATGGCCTTCAGAAACTCAATAAATGGTGCCACATCTGAAGAAAAAGAAAGGGTTAAGGGTTTTTTTTTTTTAAATGAGTAACCATAATGACAATCTCTACAATTATATTATAAAATATGAAGTATCTGTAAGTCAGTAATTTCTAATGTAAAATAATCCAAAAGGAAGACAAATCTTATAAAGTGCTTAAAAATTGTCAAATTTGTTCCTAAATATGATCCCACTAACAATTTATAATTTCCCAATCTTGATTATCCTGTGTCTTTTGTACTGATATACGCCAAGTGAAAAACGCTACAGGAAAGTCATGTTAAAGTGTCATTTATGAGATCATAAGAGATCTCTCAGATGTGAATAACTGAGACCATAAAACATGTGATACTGGGGTCCATGGGGAAGCTTCAGGGGGCAGGAGAGAGGCTCTTAGACTCGAGTGTTATGTAAAATTGTCTGTATGGATACTTTTCTAGAATGAAAATACATAGCCTTTATTCAATTGTCAAAAAGATCTGTATATTTTTTAGAAATCTATAAATACACACACACACACACACACACAGATTTAAAGGATCTTCTAGGTCTATTTACTTGCTATAAACTGGGTGAAGGAATGTAGATTATCATTAAAAGCCAAACTAATTGTGGCAAATATTACAGTCACTACTCACTTCATCTAGTAAATCAAAATCAACATGGACTTCAAAATAAACCACATCAGTAGTTTCAAATTGGTGATTCCAGATAGGTCAGGTATTACAAACCAGTCTACATCTTGAACTCTTTCAATGTCAAGTTTCCTTACAGCCCCCAGGTCTAACACTATTTCAAAACCAAGTTACTTCAAATTTACTCCGTTTCTTTCCACAGCAGAAAGATTCCAAAGATTTTCTATAATTGACTATATTTTATAACAACATTTTCAATTCAGAAAAAAAATGTAACAAAGCAATTAACAAGCTACTTCCATTTCAGTGCAAAGATGGCTATAAACTGCAACTATTTCTTAACTAGAAGAGTGTGCTCAGCAGTAATTAATCTACCTGTGATGAGGGGAGTGGGGAATACCAGAGTTTTTGGTCACATGACTGATTTCAACATCAACTTTGTAATAGCGTTTCTATTAATAAATTTTGGTAGGACAAATTATGTCTTTACAATCTAAAATTCATGGTAGCATTTTAAGCTTATATAGCTTTGACAGCCATGAAATGTTCACCTGATCTCATTAACGTAAGTTTCGGGAAGTCTAATAGCTGTTGGCTTCTGGGGAATACATAAATGGGATGGGGAGGTGCAGGGGAGATCCTCATACTGATGAATTTCCCAAACTAACTTAAAGAAGAATCAAAAGATACACCAATGTTGGCCTTTCTTCAAACTTGAGGAAGAAAGCCCTTTCTTCTCGGCAGCATTCCTCTTTGGGCTGCCAGCTCCTTGCCTCGGCATACGGGTGATTTCTTCCCACGCCTTGAGAAATTTCCAAATACAGGATGGGAAAATATCTGTGGATTGCTCTAAGTCCAGTGAATGAGAAAGAAAATTCTATTCCTTCCCTAAAATATTCATCTACTTTAAAAATTAGTCGTTAAGTCAGAAGGAAGTATTGGGATGAATAACA